GCTGACCCTGGCAGACCAAGGACTAAGGGCACCAGGTGTCATTGAAAGTTTGATGATGGCGAGTCTGATGTCCCCGGATGTGTGGGCACCTGGGTCTTTATATCTGCAGTTAGGGCAGCCCTGGTGACATGCTGACACCTTCTCTCCCATTTCACTCCCTCCTCTAGGCCCTCCCTGCCTGGTGGCAAGGCAGAAAGATTCTGGGCTTTGAAACCAAAGAACTGGGTTGGACTTTCCCAGTCCTGACCCCTGTCTTAGGATAAATTAATCTTCTAAACTCCGATTTTTCTCAGTTATAAAAATAGCACTAGGCTATTTGAGACCATGGAAGTCCGTGGTTTAGCACAGAGTCAGCACTGACCAAGGACCCAGTTCAGATGACTGTTGTTAGTGTCAGCATCACGCTTGTTCATACATGTGTTCATTGAACAAGTTTTGGTTGAGAGCTGCGGTCTTCCAGGTGCTGACGCACCACAAGGAACAAGGCAAAGTGCCTCTGCCGCTGGGAGGGGAGATGGACAGTAAACAAATGAGTATTGTAGCTGCAGGTGAGAAAAACCAGGACACCTAAAGCAGGCAAAGGGCCGGACAGCGATGGGAGGAAGGAAGTTCAGGAGGTGACGTCGGGGCAGAGACCGAAGAAGTCAGGGAATCGAGCTTGTGAAATCCGGGGGAACAGTGTTCCAGGCAGAAGGAACAGAAGTGCAAAGGCTTTGAGACCAGAACGTGGTTGATGTGTTTGAGGACAACCAAGGGGGCCACCACGGCTGGAAGTAAAGCGAGCTGGGAGGCTTCCATCACCGTTGGAAAGGATGTGGTTTAGAAGGTGGCAGGGGATGAAACTAGAGAGTTGGGAGTGGGGAGGAGCCCAAATGCTTTGGCTTTGCATCTGAATAAAAGGGGAAGCTGTTTTACAAAGGAGTGACCCATCTCCCTTTCTACTCTCCCTCCGCACCCCTTCCCCCATTTTTTATTATGAAAAACTTCAAGCGTATAGAAAAGTGGAGAAGTTATAGAGAGAGCCCCCACATGCCCACTGAGTGGATTCCACACCACATGTCCTGTTTCATCACCCATCTTCTCAATTTATTCCTCCCTCTCTCCAACTTATCACTGCATCTTAC